AGGGTCCCTTGATGGTTCATACGACTAAGAATTACGCAACTGCTGATGCAACTTCGTTTCATGTCTTTGGCAGAGTTATTAGTGGAACTTTGTACGCAGGGCAAGACGTATGTAGTTTGAATTTTATATGTTTTGCTGATTTGGCATTTTCAGTTTAGGCCACTTTCTACGCGATTTTCTAGTCATTGGGTTTTTGCAACGTTCTGAAAACTAAATAAGAAAAATTTTTTTCATTTTTTTATTAAAGCAAGCAGTTCTTTAGGTTCGAGTGCTGGGTGAGAACTATAGTATTCAGGATGAAGAGGACTGTAGGATAATGACAGTCGGTCGTTTATGGGTCAGTGAGGCAAGGTTTGGAACTTTTCATTATTTTTTATCTTTGTGCTAGTGCTTTGGAAACTTTTTGAGAAACGCTGCTTATGGGTTTTTATTCTTGCCAACTCTCGTTATTGTGCTTTCAAGGTACAATGTCGAGGTATCTCGAGTCCCCGCTGGAAATTGGGTTTTGATTGAGGGCATCGATCAGCCTATTGTTAAGACGGCTACAATTACACAAGTAGAGTACGAGGAGGATGTTAGTTATAGAGCATTATTTGAGCACATTTTTATCGACTGTGAAGTAAAGTTCTTCACACATAAACTTTGGCAGATGGCCTCAAGAGAAAAACAGAATTAACTCATTGGCTCGCTTAAAAGACGATGCCTTTAGGTCTACATTTTCCGGCCTTTGAAGTTCAACACTAAATCTGTCGTTAAGATGGCCATTGAGCCTATTAATCCCTCGGAATTGCCAAAGATGTTGGACGGGCTTCGGAAGGTCAGTGGTTTCGTTTCGGTCCTGAAATTTAGTAATGGCCGTATTTTGAGCCTAATTTTTTATGTTAGGTCAACAAATCTTATCCTTTGCTCACGACTCGTGTCGAGGAATCAGGAGAGCACGTAATGCTTGGTACGGGAGAGCTTTACATGGATTGTGTCATGCATGACATGCGGAAAGTAATCTAATTAAAGTTTTGAATTTATTTCATATGAGCATTAGACCTATTGTTTTTTCACTTTAACGTCACGCATAAGCAGCGCTTAAATTACAGGTGTTTTCCGAGATTGACATCAAGGTAGCCGACCCTGTAGTTTCATTTTGCGAAACTGTTGTCGAAACTTCGTCTTTAAAATGTTTTGCTGAAACTCCAAATAAGAAGTATGTTACTGCGAATTTTGTTTTACTTTTCCTTTTCTGACAGATACACTAGTTCATTTAGCTGTAGCTTGAAAATAGAGATAAGCAAAAAACATTCATTATATCAATTTACAGGAACAAGTTAACCATGATTGCTGAACCGCTAGAGAAGGGATTAGCGGAAGACATAGAAACTGAAGTGGTTCAAATTGGCTGGAACAAGTTTGTTTTTGTTTCGTTTATTATATTTCATTTTTCATTCGCTAGTGTCTTCCCCATCAATGCAAGGCTGAACTTAATTAATTTTTTTAGAAAGAGGCTTGGCGAGTTTTTCCAAACAAAGTATGAGTGGGATTTATTGGCTGCTCGTAGCATATGGGCTTTTGGTCCGGATACTACGGGACCAAATGTACTCTTGGATGACACTTTACCTTCTGAAGTTGATAAGGATTTACTTAAAACAGTTCGGGAGTCATTGGTTCAGGGTTTCCAGTGGGCTACACGCGAAGGACCATTATGTGAAGAACGTACGTTTACTGTTGTTCATTACCAGTGCTTGTTTTCCGAACATTAAATTCTCAGAATTTGTTTACAGCTATTCGTAACGTGAAGTTTAAAATGCTCGATGCCGTGATAGCACAAGAGGCGTTGTATCGCGGCGGAGGACAAATCATTCCCACCGCTAGACGTTGTGCATACTCTGCCTTCTTGGTTGTGTTCATTCTTGTTTCCTAAGGTCAACTTCGGCACTCTGCTGAAGAATTTAGTTATAATGTTATGTTTAGATTTTGTATTTACTTCGTCTTTACAGATGGCCACTCCCCGTCTCATGGAACCATATTATTTTGTTGAGGTTACAGCGCCCGCTGATTGTGTCAGTTCTGTATATACAGTGTTGGCAAAGCGGCGTGGTCACGTAACAACCGATGCACCCATTCCAGGATCTCCATTGTATACTATAAAAGCATATATACCAGTAATAGATTCATTCGGTTTTGAAACAGATTTGCGAACGCACACACAAGGCCAAGCTTTTTGCCTTTCTGTGTTTAGTCACTGGCAGGTAATTTCTGTTGAAAGTGTGGACTAGTAATGGTCTTTATTCTTTTTTTTAACGAGTGTTTTTATATAAATTCACAACAGAAAGTCTTTGACCAGCTGTTGTCTTTTATAGATAGTTCCTGGGGATCCTTTGGACAAAAGCATTATCATAAGGCCTCTTGAACTCCAGCCAGCTCCGCACTTGGCTCGTGAATTTATGATAAAGACTAGGCGGCGAAAAGGTTTGTCAGAGGACGTATCTGTCAATAAGTTCTTCGACGACCCTATGCTTATTGAATTGGCGAAACAGCAAGATGTATTTAGCTATGCCAATTTCTGATCTCTGGCTTTAATTGTTTTGCCATTTTTGTTGTACTGTTCCAGTTTTTGTTATGTTTTTGAATGCATTTTCTTCTGTGTAGAATTTCAAATGGTTTTCACCTGAAAACATCATAAGGCAAGTTCTTGCTTTGGAACTAAAGGAGGCTTGAGTTTTGTAACTTATTATTTCTGTTGTGATACTGAGGTAAAAATGTTAGCAGTGTGAGTGCAGGAACGTCTGATGATGATTTTTGATTTACTATTTTGCATTGTTATTAATATTGAACAATACTAACAATACAGATGTTGGCGTTTTTGCACGGTATCATGGGTCTTTATATTTTGGCTTCATTTTTGCCTTGCATTCATTTTGTGCCAACTCCAGATTTTGTCTGGGGTTCCAGTTGGGATCGGTGATAAGGCCGCATGTTCTAGGTTTTTTCGGTTGGGTATACTAGCCTTTATTTGTTCAGGATTATTTTTCTTGGTGTGAAGTTGAGACCGCTGTTCAGTCAGCTTAAGGTGCGGTGGCTTACAAATTTGTTGGCAGTGGTCAGGCATTAATTCATTCGACTAATCAGGCGGTGAATTGTTGTAATTAGAAACGTGGGGAAGTGTTTTACCTAAGATCTTTTTGGCTGTCCGGTACTGTGTGGATGGGGCTAGTTTGTAGGTAGTAGTAGTTAGGAAGGTGCTGTGTTTGCTCTGCTTCGTTTTTGACACGTCTTATTAAACTGGATAGGTTTCAGTTAATGCTGTCTCGGCCATAGTCTTCGCTCTAGTTTTCTGCTTGTTTCGGAGCTCTATGGGAACAAATTTGGAGTTGACAGATACAGATGAGGGAGTTCGGTAAGAGTTGTTTCACGGAAAGGTGTGAGTTGGAGGGATGTGGTCTGTCTTTTGTCTGAAGGAGAATACATTTTAGCGAATCGAGAGTAGATGAAAAGCTTGGCGACCCTTTGGTGTCGTTTGTTTGTTGCGTTTGCGGGATAAGCTTCAAGTGCCACTACGGGAGGGTTTCTGTAAGCGGAATGACGTAAGTTTCAGATTTTGCGTTATTGTTTTAGACTTTTCCGCTTTTTATGGTTTTTCAGGTGGCAAGTTTTTCACATCACTTTTTTAAAACGTTGTGGATGAGTGGTGAAGGCGTTCCAGGTATAGTTATCGATATCGTGAGGAAGTCTATTATCTAATGGACCCATTCAGGAATCGTACCAAAGTTGATGAGAGGAGAGTAACTTCTGATGAGAAAACTACTCGGCGTGAAGGCAAAACAAATAATGGTCTCAGTATCTTAGATTTTGTCGTCGTTGGGTCGTTGTGCACAATATGTGGACAACCTGTTTGCGTCGACGAAGTACTTGAGTGTTTTATTTCTCGCATTCGCCTATTTTTGATTTGTTTGACAATTATGAGAGTCAGGTTATCTTAAATTTTATAGGTTTGTGGCGTTTTTTATGCGAAAACTTATTGCTCAAATTGCATTAATAAACACGAAGTCCACTTCCCGAAGGAACTTGTTCAGGTGCATAGTTTTATTGAGGGTTGGTTGGTTTCAGTGACGAAAATTACAGTAGAGGGCGTGAGGAAGAGCTTGATTAAGAGCTTGTCACAACAGTTATTTTTCAGAAGCTCCAGTCAGCGCGTACGGCCCGACAGAAACGAGAGGCAGAAAAAGTGGGTCCTCTTGTCATGGCAGATGAAGATAAGAATCGGTAGAAAGCTCAAAGATGCCATCTTGACGCGCTTCTTTTATCTTTGGAAAAGCTGACCAGAAAAAGTAGCCGTCGTTGCTACTTACTGTTATACTTTCAACCCTAAATGCTTCTTTTCTTTGATGTTCCTGATTTCTCACCATTTCAAGAAATCCGTCTGTTTACCGTAAATTGCACTCGCAACTTAAAGTTTTTCCTTTCCTGTAGCTGGTTTCGTCTTGGTACACAAATCGTTTTTTTTTCTAAGTTTACGACCTGAAAAAGTGGCACGCAACATATCGTTAAGAACATGTGAATTGCTGTAATAATGTTGATTAGTTAGAGCATCTATGCTTCTTTAAACTACATAGATAATGTCAAACGGCGGTAAACTTATTAAGTCGCTTGATTGTAACAGTGACTAAATATTTATTGGAGGATTGACAATGGGAGCAGACATTGGATTGTTCAGGTTGTTTATGATGGTATTACTGTACTGATGGCGGCTGCTGGTTTGGAAGTGGACAGTTCTGTTAATTATCCTCTATTCAGTTGGAAGTTTTTGAATAACTGGCCATCTGGATCGATTTGGAAGAAGTGGGGGTCGTCTAACTTTACTTGGGGGTCGATCGTCTAGCATTTAATTTCCTCATCCCAACTCTTTCCGAAGAGTTTTATTGTTTTATGGTTCACTTAGTTCATTTTTTGTCCAGATAATTGGATAAATTAGTTTACAAGTTGCTTCCAACTGGGACTGATACTGCAGCAGTTTTACTGCATGCTGTGTTGTGTCGGTGTTATTTCACACTGATGATTTCACTTTTGTTGAAGTTTTGAGAAAGCCTTTATCTAAGTATTCTCAGGCAGGTACCAGTTGCAGCGAACTGCTTTCTTGTTAGGGAGCAGGTAGCAAGGATGCAATAGTTTGCCACGAGAAGTTAGGAGAAAAGCTATCATTACCCACTCAACTTTTACCATCTTTACTTCATTGGGAGCTACCCAGTTAGTCGAGTACATTTTTGAGGCTCCAGTTTATTTTCGTAATTATGCAGTTCATCTAGGGTACGGTTGTGCAAGGGAAATATAAAGTCACCGCTAGGACAAATAAATATTTGCATTTTGAGTAGCCGGAACTGTGGTTCTAAAACTAGTAAAAAGAGCTATGAACGCGAACAGTTATACGCAAAAGACGCAAATAGGGCACATAACATTTAATTTCAACGTATTGTAATTTTCAGCCGGTTCTTATACGACAACGGTAACACGCTTAGCCCTTGTCCGGTTTAAATCATCTTTAGAAAATGCTAAGATTTTAAAAGCCCGCAAAATCAGTTTCTAGCTGTCTCACAGCAACCTGTATTAGGAACCTGTTTTCCATTTTCGCATACCACAGTTTATGCGCTTTGACGACCAATTCGCTCTCATATAATGATAGTCTTTCTTCATTCACTGGCGCTTTCTCCTACTTACTTTCTTGTCTTTAACAACTAACGACTTCTATTCCCAATGATTTTATTCTTAATTTTTATACTCTGCCTAGGCGGTACGACTGCACAAAATGCTGCGGATGAAGAGTTCAGCCCATATGTCTATACGCACTCTCAGTTACCTTTCAAAAATGTAAGGCAACGTGCTATGAGTTTTTTTTTTGAAATCCAATAAAACCATTTCTTGCAAAAAAAAATTCAAAAAAATTTTTCTTGAAACCTTTTATAGCGACATATTTTGCAGAAAAATTATGCCAGAAGATGGTACGGCTGGGATCTTGCGTACATCCAAAGTCCTCTACTGGCACCAGCAAAACCGTCAAAAAAATATGTAAGCCATTATCTTGCCAGCTGCCTTCCTTTGCATTAACGAAAGGTAGGATCTGAATGGCCCCTACTTAGGAAGGATCTGAACAATAATGGGAGCAAACATCAAACCCGCATAGATCTGACAAAAATGACTTTAGTGTGCCCAAAATCTGCACCTGTTATTTTACTCCCCTATTTTGAAACTTCAGTAATTGTAAACCAGGATAATTTGGAAATTTAATTTCAGATACCAAACCCGCTTCCGTTAATCCAGCCGTTGATAGTCAAGTGGAGCGACTTGAAAAATGTTGAAGTTAATCAAGAAAATACATGGAACTTTGATAAAAGAATTGACTCTAAAGTGTGGTGGCCTTAACGCGACATTAGAATTTGAAATTTAAATTGGGCAACATCAGTGAAAATAATTTTACTCATGATATCAGCGAATTGTCAGTACTTTACCCTTCCGCATATGTTTGTCTTAGCCCTTTAATTAACATTTTATCGCTACCTTTTTTTTAATATTTTGAAAGTCCCGCTTCTTCGATGAACTAACTTATACAGCGCATGTATCGACTACAAATTCAAACTTCATAACCCGATGAAATGTTTTTTTAGTGGGGAAGGAAGAAGCAGGAAGAGGTCAACAGCCAGTCTGCTGCTATAACCCATTCAGTAATGAATTTCCGAAAACGATACGTAATATAGGCCACATTTCTCTCTTTAATAAGCATCTTTCAGTATTCTTACGATGGTTGATTTTATTTACAATATAAACGAAATAAATTACCCGTTTTGATATACCAACATTAAAGCTAGAAGATAGATCAAGCACTGAACACTTATTAAGCGGTATTACTCTTGTGTCTCCACAAATAAGTGAGAACACTGTAAAGTCAAACCGCTCAGTTTAAACGTGAGATACAACTAAATTGGAGGTCTTTACATATGAGGCACAAGATCGTTTCCTACAGGAACAAATGACCGCAAAATGGCAAGATTACATTGCGGCCGACCTAAGAAGCTTTTAACCTTTTACTAGATTCAGTGTGAGCAGCTCTCACTGCAGCCTTCTCCTTTTCTAGTTCCAAGCTTTTCAAGTAGCGCAAAGCGCGTTTCGCAGCCGTACACTTCGCAATTCTGTAGCTGCGTCCCATACCAGTAAACCGGCATTTGCCCTGAATGTCTACTGTCACCCGTACTTTACCTGTCTCCAAGTTTCTCTCCAACTTCCTAAACAATAAATCGTAAAACGGAAAGAAGCGATGGAAGCTTCCAGGAATTCAAAAAAAAAAAATTACGTACGAGAATCTGGCTCGTTCAGGCTCCAGTTCCAAAAGCTCTCTAATTGGTGATTTTGGAGGGTTGTTGCAGCACTCCTCAATAGTTTCCTTCATAAGGTTATAAAATACGCGCCAAACAATATCTAGGTCCTTTCCACAGTCCTGCAATAAAATATATGAAATTAATTAACAGTCACTTGGACAAGACAATGTTCACGAGAAGTCAGAAACTGAGCCAGTAGTCCTTAAGAATAATTTACTGCTCAGTAAAAGACTTGTAAAATTACAAGGTATACAGCCCCAGCAACAGATTCAAAAACGTCTCCCATTGCTTTAGGCACTTCTATGTCTTCCTCCTCTCCCTCATCGATTTCTTCTTCTGTAGTTACCATATACATCTGCAAGAATAGATTAATTCGGTTATAACCGCACAGAGTCCCAGCATTGTGTGGAAATTCGTCTTAAAAATTCACTTCTGCATTGAAATTCGTCCTGGCAAGGTTTTTTTCCATACACAATCGAACGAATTTTTCTATCATAAGATGCAATCCGGGACACATCGCAACAAAATGCTGTAAAAACGTTGTCATAAAACCATGAACGAGGAATATTAATGTGACACTCTACTGCCACACACTCATGGGCAACGAACTAAATTTTCTTAGAATTACCTTATGGAAACTGTATTTTACTGCCAAAGACGCAAAAATTGTGTTGTTCACTAAGGCAGAACGCAAGTCAGTAAGTACGCCAGGACTATATTGCCGTGGATGTTGATAAAGAAAACGGGTTATCAAATAGTCCAGAACAGCATCACCGAGAAATTCCAGCCTCTACAATTATAATTGGGTATGGCAAAATTTGATCGTTGTTCAGCAAGCTGCAAGCAGTTCATCCCCCCATGAAACAGCACAGCCGTTCCAGGGAATATTTCAACACTCACTTAAACTTAGAACTTGAACAAATAAAAAGGATAGGATCAAAAAGTTATATTCGTTAAAAAACAAATCACGAAGAGAAGGGAGTCTCTAAGTTGCTTTGCGTCACAAAAATGTCTAAACCTGTTCACTAATCATACTCTATCCACACAGAAAGTGCTTTTTATTATAATCAGGGACAGAAAACGACAACAGAAAATTCTGTACAAAAAAACGTTTTGCAGATAAAACTAATTAGAAATTCTTTCGCAAATTCCAGACTTGTGAATGTTTCCAATTAACAGAACACAGTCTTCACTCTCATAACGAAGCACTTTGCAGCACGTAGTTCAAAATGAATGAAGATTTTTACCTGATAGCAGCCAGTGATTCGATTCGTGTAATAGGAAGCATGAGTAAACGCCTGCAGCAAATAAGCCCTCTGTTTAAACTGATATTTTATAGACTCTTCTAGTAGGGAGAACTTAAACTGCGCCCAGAACTCATTCAGCTTACATTCCGAAAGATGAGGCTAAATTAGAGTTCGCAATAAAAAACCTGAGTAGAAGGAAATTAAAACACTGGAGAAAGAAATCCAGTCAAGCAGATAAAAGCATAATGCATTATTAAATCCTTTTAGACTAACCTGCTCAACAGTGTCAATATATCTAAAAAGAGGAATTTCTGGAGGGCCAAGCTCTTCCTTCGTTAACACTTTCAAACCCAGCCATTTCATAAACTTTAATGCAGCTGTCGGTCCAAGTTCCAAAAGATGGGCTCCAATTAGTGCTTCAACTGCATCGGCAATTGATTTGTCACTTAAATTCTGTTGCGTCAACATGTTGTACGGCAAAGGTGTTATATCGTCGTTTCCATCCCACTTCTTTTCCTGAGTTTATAATTAATCATAAAACATAAAAAAAACCACTAAGCAAGACTAAGCAGCAAGGAACTTGAAGGCTTCTAATAAAATTTGAAGAGAAGTACCGGTTTTGGAAAAGTTATTGTTTCTACACCATCGGCAACTTTTCTAACTTCTTTGGTTGTGTCGCCCTCATCCCAGCCAGTAGAAATCTTTTTTTCGAACGCCACATGAAATCCACCATTGAATTTCAAACTAAGTTAACGAATCAAAAAAATAACGAACCTAATGATATGTGAATTACGAGTATACATAACACTTATGAAATACTCAATGACATAGCAAGAAAATTGTAGAACTAAGCTTACTACTTGCTCAAAAGCACTTTTCCCTTCAAGTACATTCTCCATCAATTGGTCGCGCTCTTCAGCATCCAGCGAATTTGGAGCTTTAAAGTCAGTTGTAGGAGCATAACTAAATCTGTATTATTTTTTTGGAAGGCCAAGATTAATCCCACTTCATACTGAACCCTGTAACACTTACCATGGTGGAAGCCAGCCATCATTTGGGTCGAATTTCGTGCCAACCATTAAAGAAGGAAGATTCCTTTTTTTACCCAAACGATACAGATTACAATTGGAAACCTAAAAAGACACATAAATGATCGAATAAAAGTAAGAAACCCGTTAGACTCACTTCTTTACTCCTTGCAAAACTCAGTTTCCCCTCATGCTGGTTAGGATTCATATGAAAAAGATAATCTGTCACAGCATATTTCAAGAACGAGTCCCCAACAGTTTCCAAACGCTCAAGATTTATTCCATCAGAGGCATTCGACATTGTAAGTGCCTAAAATCGAAGACAAAACAAGTGCTGAAATAAATGCGTACAACTGTAAGAATACCTGAAGAAGCGTGCACGGTGAAACACCATAAGGATGCTCTTCCAAACTGCCCTTTTCAAAAGAAAATGTCATCCAGTTTAACGGTTGTGCAGAAACGCATTTCTGAAAAGGTGAGGAATGTAAAAGGAAAGGATACTGTAATTAGCTGAAATCTGACTTTGCAGGGGAAAAATTGATTAAGCGTATACCTTGCAATGATCATCTTCAAACGTGAAATTTTCAACTGTAGCTTGCTTATTTGTTGCTTCTCGTTGCAAATCTATTTCGAGTTCAATATCACTACTTCGACGGCATAAAGAACCACTCACCTAGAGCAATGAACACGATAGTAAAACAAAAAATAGAAAACAGTGAGAATAGTTCAGCTATAGCAAGATCAAATAAAAGACAAAAAATA